TCTACAAAAGTATGCAGAACTCCTCTCTCCCTCTTCTATCCATTTCGCTCTTGATCTAATATATGCTCCTTTGGCTTTAGAAAGATAGATGTTATCCAGTGATGATTGCAAGAGTATAAGTTTTTGTTTGCTGTTCTCATTTAGAGATGATTTATTACATATACTGTTTATTTCTGTGATGATTTCCATCTCTTTTTCCTTACTTTCCCTGCTTAATATTTTGCTATTTGAAATAGAAATCTGGTGTACTTTGTATTTTAAATATTCCCATTTGCTTCTATAAGTTAAGAGGTTTGAATCTGTGGTTATATTATTGATCACTGTAATAATTTCTTGGCAGAAACGCTCACTTTTCAGGAGGTTTGAATTAAATTTCCAATAACCTTTTTTTAAAGCATTTGTTTGTGGACATGAAATTAAGTTTAATCAAACAGTGATCTGTTACAGGTGCAGCAGAAATTATGGAAGTTGGATCCAGCCCAGGCCTATTATCTGACACCAACCAAAAATCAATTCTGGATTTAATTGAGCCATCTGGTTTGAACCATGTGTAGATTTGGGTATAAGGATTATCAAATCGCCATACATCTTTTAGGTTAAACTGAGGCGACAAAAATCGGTGCTTGGAATTGGGCCTGACGGCTCCCAACCCCGTCCTCCTTGTTTCTTCTAAAATGTCTTTTGTTGTCAATTCAGTATCTTAGGTTCGGCTGGCAGGTACTTAGAAAAACACTGGAGATAGGCAGAATCTGGTGCAATCGAGTTTATTGTGTTCACGCCGCGGCTAAGCGCGTCCTCCCAGTCACGGGGGCCAGCGGCGTGTCCGGACCGGTCGGTAGGGGCGGCACTGTCGACACCGAGGCGTGGGACGTGATATCTATCACCACCAAAAGGGTCATCGTGGCCAAGCGCGCAACAGCAGCAGCACGCAAGCCAAAGGCTACGACGGCCAAGCGTGCAACAGCAGCAGCATGCAAGCCAAAGGCTACGACGGCCAAGCGCGCAGCAGCAGCAGCAGCAGCAGCACGCAAGCCAAAGGCTACGACGGCCAAGCGCGCAGCAGCAGCAGCGGCAACAACAACAACAAACAGGCCAAAGGATATATGGAGAGTGGGTGTTGGCGGTGTAGTGGATGCTCTGTTGAACTGCAAACCAGGGGCATCCCATAAGCATGTGACATCAACAACTACCTGCAGACGGCCCAATGGTGCAAAGTGCACAGGGACCAGACCAGGAACTAAGAGAGGTTCTGCTAAGCCTAATACTAGGATAGCCAGGCGTGGCAATGCTAAAGCACCTAAAAGGACTCACGCTGCACCAGGAAACGCGTGGACAGTTATTGTACACAACTAACCACAGCCTAGCCTGGCCTGGCCTGGCCTGGCCTGGCCTGGGTGGTGTATGTATGTACAGTATAGGCCAAAAGTTTGGACACACCTTCTCATTCAATGCATTTTCTTTATTTTCATGACTATTTACATTGTAGATTCTCACTGAAGGCATCAAAACTATGAATGAACACATGTGGAGTTATGTACTTAACAAAAAAAGGTGAAATAACTGAAAACATGTTTTATATTCTAGTTTCTTCAAATTAGCCACCCTTTGCTCTGATTACTGCTTTGCACACTCTTGGCATTCTCTCCATGAGCTTCAAGAGGTAGTCACCTGAAATGGTTT